CAGCGACTAGTAAAGATATGCAGGCATTGCAAATGAATTGGCGGAACATTAGATCACTTTTTAATTTATTTTTTATCAAATATTAAGTAAACACAATGCCCACTCACAATCGCGATTACCCGAGAATCCGTCGTCGTCTCCGTGGTGACCCGGTTCAACGTCCACTGCATCACTTCCTGGATGATGCATCTCTAATCTGTATTTTCGCCTGTTCAAAACAAAGGCGGCCGCGGTAATCGCCAGTCGGAACTTCCCACTTATATTTATCATTTGTTTCCTCCGTAGCTATCAGTTTCTGTCGAAAGTGATGAATGTATCGGTTTCAACTTATGAATTATGATTAATATGTTGTCGGAAGGAATCCATCGAATCGAAATAAAGATCGTGGGTCTTATCTGGGCATAGTCGGCGGTGGTTAGGGATCGGTCGCCCCAAATAGGCCAGTCAATAGAGTAAAAAAAAATTAAATATTTAGACGAAAATACTAACAGCATACCACCTTTGTCATCATTTTAAAGACAGTCCGTAGATATACTCTGATGTGTTTCCGACTCGCAACTCTAATTAATTAATTTGTTATTAATATTTTAGTGCAAAAAGCGCGTTTTTTTTTTTAGTTATTTGCTTATAAAACCAAAATTTATTTAAATATCTAAATTAGGTATTGAATTTCTTTAATTTTATGGGTTATATTTTCAAATAAAACAGAAGTGTTACATATTGATGTGTTGGTAATTTTATCCTATACCTGTTACTGTCAAGATCCAATATGGCGCCCAGAAGAAAAAAAAAACAATTGAATATTGCATAACTGAAACTAGTGGCCGTAGAAATTTTCCTTCGGCGAAAATGGATTTCTTGCATCTTCTGGGAGATATCCCAGTACCAAATTTCAGCTCTTCCTGTTGTGAAATAAGGACGCTAGATGGCATTTTCTAAAATCGTTATTTTCAGTTTTTTCACAATATTTCAGGAACGGCAGCATACAGGGTGGGCCATTAGTGTGAGAAAGTAAAATAACGCCCTTGTCGCTCGTAATACAAAAAAAAAAGTTTATATAAAAGTTATACGGAAACAGGAAACCTAAACTACAAAATTAATTTGATACATACAGGGTGATGAGTAAAAATGGGACACGCCAAATATTACATTTTTTAAATGGAACACCCTGTATATTTTTAAACATGGATTTCCGAGAAAATTCTATATATGACAATATAAAGTGTATCATTTTAGTGTGGGGTTGCCAAGTTATGTAGAAAATTCTTCGAATTTTGGAAAAAACATGACCTCGAAGAAGTTGTAGTAAATTTCAGCTACTATAGACCAAGAAATAAAAGTGAAAAATCATCGAGAAATCGTGAAAATTACTAGGCGTGATTTTATTGTTGGCAAGTCTTGGGAATGATAATACAACAGGCGTCTCATCTCGTGGGTCATGGAAAAAGTATAGCGTCATTGTTTTTTTATCAACAAATAGGACAAAAGTTCGTCATTTTTCGTTTTACGCGTTATTGTAAAAAAAGTATTAATCTTAGCAGAAAATGTTCAATAGACGATTTGATCTAGAGAAACCCGTCTTTAAAATGAGACTTATAAGTTAAAATTGCTTTATAAACAAAAAATTTGTTGCAAAATTAAACGAAAAAAGTGCTTTTTCTTTAATTGTTAATAACTTTTTAAATAATTAATAAAATCTTACCAAACTTTCCCAAAGTGTGAGTTTTTATATCCTTAAGAGATGTGCACAAGATGGGCTCGATCGGTCAAATAGTTTTTGCAAAATTCCATTTATTTATCCCATTTTTTCAAAACAGACCCATTTTCAAATGACTATTCCGGGGTCAGGGTTATGACGAAAACATTCTTTTTGGGCTCATTTTCTTCGAAGGGACACCAACCAAGTATTCTCTAGTTAAAAATTTTTTTTTTCAAATTTAGTTGTAAAAAAATTGTTAACTCCGGACCTATTGGTCGTAGAAACTTTTTTTTCTTCAATTTGAAGTGGACTGATATGTGAATAAAACAGAACAATAAAATACAGGGTGTTCAATTTGAAAAATTTTAGAAAATCAAGTTTAAACTTTCTTAAAATAATCGTATTATAAAAAATGCCCTGTATAAAATATCGATATTAGCTAATATAGGACTCTTTGCCTAACATTTACCTAAAACTTATTTAAATATTTTTGCTCCAAGTGTAAGTAGTTGAAAGTTAAAACAACTTCTTCGAGGTCATGTTTTTTCCAAATTTCGAAGAATTTTCTACAGAACTTGGCAACCCCGTACTAAAATGATAAACTGTTTATATTGCCATATACAGAATTTTCTCAGAAATCCATGTTTAAAAATATACAGGGAGTTCCATTTAAAAAATGTATTATTTGGCGTGTCCCGTTTTTACTCATCGCCCTGTGTGTTTCAAATTAATTTTTTCCGTTAGGTTTTTTGGTTCTGTATAAATTTTATATAAACTTTTTTGTATTATGAATAATAAGGGAGTTATTTTACTTTTTCACACTAATGTCCCATCCTGTATATCTTTGATCTGTTTGGTTTAATTTAATGACCCCGAAAAGGCGCAAATTTTTTCTAATTTTAGCCACCCTGTATATATCACGGTTCACTAACGATGAGCCATGAAAAAAAACGGATTAACTAAAAATACAACTTTTTTGACTCTTGAATTCTTTTCGTATCATGCTTCCTTTTTGGAGAAAAAAAAAAATAAAAATTACTTTATTGCATGTCCCTAGGACAATAAATAAAAAATTAAAACCACCAAACTATCAAAAAGTGGGGTGTACATATTATTTTCCCCATATCAATAGTTTATTCTAGTCTTAGAAATTGTTATAAAAATTAATGCTAGCTAAAAAAATGTTTGTTTTATTAATTACTAAAAATTTGTTTTTTGTTTTTTGTTTGTTGCCACATGAATATTTTTTTAAGTGAAGTGCTTGCTTCAATAACCTTTGCTTCTATCAGGTTTAAGAAACAGTGAAGCATTAAATAATTCATTTTCAAATATTAGTTTTTTGTTTTAATTTTTTCAGCATATCTCTAATTAATTGTCATTTGTAAAAACGCTACTAACCTTATTTTTATCCATCTATAAATTCCGAGAAATTCCCAATTTCACTCTTACTGAGATCAGAAAAAAACACAGTTTCCAAATTGTTGCACCCTGTATATTACAGGTCTAAAGTCTAAGGATTTCAACATTGAATTTCTATACCACCTAATTTGCATAGCATCGTGCAGGAACTTGAAAATAAGGCATTAGTAACCTCTTTTTTAAAAGAACATAATAAAGACGTCCTTTGTATGTCCCCTTTTGGCATCTGGGTTTCTTTTGGTACTGTTTAAGTGCGAAAACTTTTGTACTTCGAGTACAAACGGTATATTTCGCTCTGTCAAAGCATCTCTGAGTCAGTTAGTAGTCTGCCTAAATTATCGTCTGCTTAATTTTGTTTGCAAATATTGATCTACTATTAAAAGCAGGATCAAACAAAGGATATTGTTTGGTATTGATTTAGATCCTAAATCAACTTATATATAATAGCTCGATGTGTAATTATATCGTGTTAAGAAAATTTTTATCAACGAAATCGGCCTATTTGACTTGACAAACTTTATAGGCATACATAAATCAGAACATAGAAAAGACAGTAAATACATGATTAAATAACAAATACTTTACAGCATCTTCGTTGAAATTACGTTCAGTGTTGATTCTATCGAAATCCAGTGAGATACACAAAAATTCCAATGAATAATCCGTAAACTATTCCCCACTCTATGACTAATATTGGACTGAGCCTAAGCATACACAAGTTGGTGCACGAAAATTAAAACAAATAGATAACAGATAAGGATCCCATTATACATCCCAGCCTCATTTGATGTCATTATAAAATCGAAAGGCTATAAATTTGAAAGATAACATAAAAATACATATTTAAATATACCACAGAAGCACGTAGTTCGATATCGTGATTAGTAAATAACAAATAAAATACTGACAATGAAACACGTTCTAGTTAATCGTTTAATTAGCCCCTGAATTTACCAGTAATGCTACAAGAACGCAACAATTTATTGATTTCATTGAACTGGCAAGGTTCGAGGCCAGAAAAAAATAACAAAACGTGGATAGAATACTGATAACTTAAAAAAATCGATTGCAAGCGTAATTTTAATGCATTACATTAAAATCATCTGTTATCGCTATCCCGTTGGATCTAAACAACTTTTCTTTTGTTTTTGTTCACAAACTTAATTGTGTTATAAAAACAGGCGTTTTTACTAGGTTCGGCATTTAATTACTTAAACACGGCTTCCGAGTGTGAATGCAATAAAATCTGAAAGTAGAACAACCCCTTTTTTTCAGTCTTTGCTGCTCGTTTCAGATGATTCATGTAAGAGGTCTTACGGATACCTTGTATACGCTATTAAAACGCCGTTTTAGCGCTGGCTATCAATGAAAGTCCAATTAAAACTAGTCGAGTAATTCGACTATCGGCGTTAGTCGTACGTACATGCAAGAAAACACTGGTAATTACCTTAAAAGAAGTTAATAATCCAAATAATCCGGAGTTGAAAAACATACACCCACTCACTACCGATTCACAAGCGAAACTGAAAATTTGTTCGAGGTTGGCAAGGCCATGCACAGATGGCGCATATAAATGGGGTTGTTAGGCAACCAAGTATACAGCTGTGTTATTTTTTAGTGGTACTCGGAGTAAATCAAGGATGATAGACTACTAGAGGTTATCTCATTCGTAGTAAACCAAGGATGATAGACGAACAGAGATGAACCCATTCGTATTTGATTTTTTTTGCAACGTATTTATCTAAATTTATAAAAAGAGATAAGTAAATTTGAGGTGTTATTTGTTGCTTGTGTTTAATAATCATTGTTTAATTAAAAAAAGTGTTAAATATTAGCAAATAATAGTTTTTCTCTTGAAATGGGGAGTGAAATAAAAAACAGCTTTTATACACAATCTTTATTGATCTGGTGATGTAAACAAAAATTCAAATATAGTTATATAAGGCACGTTTTACATGTTACAATGTTACTACGCTACTGGATATACACAAATTGAAAGATATATAATTTTTTATATAAAGACATATAGAAAACGTTCATACCATAAATTTTGCAAGACTAGCAAATTCTCGTTACATGATATAAATTTTTACAACCTAAAGTGGAACGTCGTTGACGTTCCCCGTTTTGAACAGCGTACAATTTTTTTAGCCTAATCGCCCTTGCAAGCTCGCTTTTAATTGAACATTAATAATAAAACTGTAACATATAAAACAGAAAAAAAAACAAATATAAGAAAAAAACGGTCTATTTAGAATAAATATTATCGTAATTATTATTAATATCACCATCAGTGTTCAACTTACACCCTACGCATTGGCTTAGTAATATTCTGGGGAGTGTCCATAAACAAACAAGGAATTACTTAATAGTAAATAAAATCTGCACACGGTACTATAAAATATTTCAAAACAAAAACAACTAATCCATAAAATATTATAAACAAAACACTTTTAATTAAATAATAATTTAAAAAACCCAAATTCATAAGATTACATCGATAAAACAGGAGTTCTTGTATGTATTGCTACAAGGCAACGGTGTAACTCTATTAAAACTACTTCATGTGCTTAAATAAATATTTACATAAATACATCTGCTTCTTTTCTCCTTAGAACTAGAAGTTTTCTTACGCTTACATGGATTGCGGTAAGGGGTGCAGCTTCCTCGTGGGCTGAGGCGACATCTGCGACAAATTTCAAAATGAAAAAAGTGTCCCGATCGTAAACAAAATTAGCAAACCGCTAAAAACCGTCACAAATTCGAAGCCGGTCTTCTCGCAAACCTGATTTCAATTACACAAAAAAAAAGTTGTCTGTCCTTTTCATGCAACATATGTTATCCGTAGTATTGTTGACTCCTGATCACAAATCGGGGTCAGAATTGAGCTATCACATCACAGGAACTTTCTAACCTCAAAAAACCAATCAAAAATAGCAAAGTCACGAAAAAGTGATAGGAAAAATAAAAAAAATCAAATGTTCATTCATATGGTGGAGACCTCGCCGAACGTGTGCAGTCACAGTCAGAATTGATGGTTCTTTTTCTAACCTCAAAAGAAATGGGTCAATTAAGGTCAGATATCACGAACTTTCAAAAAATAACACATTCGCGCCAAATTTGATATATGGGGGTTTTCGGGATCGCTGATCACTGATCCGAGGTCAATTTTGCAAAATTCAAGATGGCGGATCCAAGATGGCCGACCAAATTTTCAAAAAATAACAGATTCGCAACATATTTGGTATATGGGGGTTTTCGGGGTCGCTGATCACGAATTCGAGATCAATTTTGCAAAATTCAAGATGACTGATCCATGATGGCCGACCAAATTTTCAAAAAATAACAGATTCGCACCAAATTTGGTATACGGAGGTTTTCGGGGTCGTTGATCACTAGAGTTCGGGGTTTTCGTCGGCTAATCATAGGCGCATTCATCGTAAACAAATAAACAGGTGGGTACAAATAAAAATAAATAAATTTTCGTACTTTATCAGTGAAAGGTCGTTCGATATTATTAGAATATTAAAACACGTATACACAAAGCAAATGCAAAACCAATAACTGCCGTTATTACGGGTTTCGTATGATGCGCTGTAGCGAAAGGCCGACGCGACGGTTATGATCATCCGACCGAGTCCCAAACTTTACTGAACACGAATTCGAGGTCAGAATTGGGGAATTCATTTTGTAATATTTTTGTTTACTTTATAACCTTCTTGTTTCGGTTATATCTTGTTCTTCTTTCTGTAAAAGATTTATTCACGGTTTCTGCCTAATCTCAGGTAATAAAGTACATAGGTACTTGATTAAATTTTTAAAAACGAATTTTGGAAATGTGATTTCGGACTCGTGATCATCGACCCTGAAAACCTCCGTATACCAAATTTGGCGCGAATGTATTATTTTTTTAAAATTTGTTGGGCCATCTTGGATCCGCCATCTTGAATTTTGCAAAATTGACCTGGAATCCGTGATCAGCGACCTCGAAAACTCCCGTTTACCAAATTTGACGCAAATGTGTTTTTTTTTAAATTCGTGATATGACCTGAAAAAAACGGGTCAATTACGTTTTTTTTTTGAGGTTAGAAGAAAAACCATCAATTCTGACCGCGGATTCACGTTCAACGGAGTCTTAACCATATAAATGAACATTTGAATATAGAAAAAAAAATTTGTATTTTCCTACCACTTTTTTGTGAATTTTTGCTATTTTTTATGTTTTTTGAGGTTAGATTGAAGATTCCTGATCAGGAGGCAAAAATACTACGGATAACATAATTATGTCGTATGAAAAGTACAGATAACTTTTTGTTTTAAAGAAATTTGTAATTTACGATGCAAATTACAAATTTTTTTACAACAAAAAGAAATTTGAGTTGTAAACTAAGTCCATTTTATAGAAAATCTGCGTTAAAATGGGGGAAAGTCTGTTATTTGTGCATTAATACATATTTAAACAAACTATGTAATAAAATCTATAAAAATGTATTGCTGGTTGCCTATTTGCTATAGAGCCCTCTTAAGACGACTTACTGAGTTTTTACTTCACTTAAATATAAAGCAGTGGCCCAAGTTTCATCAGTCTAAATCAAACATGTTCAGACACGTTTCAGAAAAGGTAACATTTTTTTCTAATTTCAACATCCTGCACCTCAAAAATGAAACGAACTACGAATCTTTATGCTTAAAAATTACTTTTTCTATCACCTTTTAAAATGGATACTACTATTTAATGAACACCCTCTGTAGGGTGCAGGAGAGAACGTTTCTGATATTCATTTTCACATAGTCACAGATTCTTTGTAACTGCAATTACTGTGGTTTGTTTTTAAATTTTTATCACAATCACAAATAAAGCAAATACAGTCATTTCGATAACAAAAAAAAATTGAATAGCCTTGTAAGATAATTGTAAATTTACACTAAAAAATTATGAATCGGGGCAGCTTCATTTGTAAAAGAAATATAGTTACTTTTAAGAGTAAACAAATTGCCACACTGCCAGTAACTTTTATTAAAAGTGTAAATTTGTAGAAAGGTTTGTAAATTTACACTTTACAAAGTTATAAATTGTGATGTTACAATTATCAATCATAAATAAAACAAATAGTCATTTCAACTGCAAAAAATTGGAATACGGCTATAGTCTTTTGAAATAACCGTAAATTTACACACAAAATGTAAATTTACGCTAATAATTTATGAATTGTGACAGTTTCATTGATAAAACAAATATGGTTATTTCTAACTGCAAACAAATTGCCACACTACCATTAACTTCCTTTAAAAGTGTAAATTCGTAGAAATATTTGTAAATTTACACTTTAGAAAGTTATAAATTATTATAGTTACAATTATCAATCATAAATAAAACAAATACAGTCATATTAATTGCAAAAAATTGGAATATGGCTAGTCTTTTAAAATAATCGTAAATTTACAGACAGGAAATGTAAATTTGCGCTAATAAATTATGAATCGGGACAGTTTCATTTGTAAAACAAATACGGTTCTTTTTAACAGCAAATAAATTGCCACACAGCCATTAACTTTTATTAAAAGTGTAAATTTGTAGAAGGGTTTGTAAATTTACACTTTACAAAGTTATAAATTGTGATAGTTACAATTATCAATATAAATAAAACAAATACAGTCATATCAATTGCAAAAAAATTGGAATATGGCTATAGTCTTTTTAAATAACTAAATTTACAGAAAGGAAATGTAAATTTGCGCTAATAAATTATGAATCAGGACAGTTTCATTCGTAAAACAAATATGGTTATTTTTAACTGCAAACAAATTGCCACACTACCAATAACTTCCATTAAGTGTAAATTAATAAAAGGATTTGTAAATTTACACTTTATAAAGTTATAAATTGTGATGTTACAATTATCAATCATAAATAAAACAAATACAGTGATTTCAACAGCAAAAAATTGGAATATGGCTATAGTCTTTTAAAATAGGGTAACTGTAAATTTACAGAGAGGAAATGTAAATTTGGGCTTTTGGTTAAATTATGAATCACTTTACAAAATTATAAATTGTGACAGTTATGACCATTGATCATAAATAAAATGAATATAATCATTTCTAAATGCAAATTTACGAGAAGAAATTGTAAATTTACTTAAAAAAAAACATATTTTTTTAAATTAAAAAAAAAATTTGGACGTATCTTTAGTTCTTTCTAAATTAATGTCAGATTTTCGTACAGAAATTCCTTTCAATATAAACAACGAAACAAACACAAATTAAAAAAATTTAACATAATTGTAAAAAATTATTTAAAAAATGTACTTACGAAATTCAATTGACTCCGTAACGGCTGTTCAGTCATCTTCGCTGGGTAACCGCTATCCGAATGCCTGTGTATCGCGGCCGTGGTAGTATAAACGACGTCTTTCTTCTTATCCGTGCAGTTCTCCCTCAAAGGGACGTCCGGCTCGTCCTGCGCCACCCCGTTCACCCTATGCAAACTGAGAACGGGCGATTTATTACTCGACGACTCCACGTTCAAATTCCCCGTCGAGTTAATATAGATACTGGTGGTGTAGACTTGTTTCCTCGGCTCGACGGGCGTGTGGTTACTGTTGACGCTCAACTGGGACAAACTGGGAGAATTCCTAGCTACCTCGGTGTTGGTCGATTTGGTCTCCAGCGACTTACGAACGCTGTTACAGCTGCTGTGGAGGGTGTTCTGGGAATTCCGTAACGCCACCTCCTCGGCGGCCTTGGACCTTTCCTCGTCGTCCTCGTTGACGTCGACGTGGTGCTGTCTCTCCTCGAAGATATCCTCTTTGGTTACGGGTTTGGCCTCGCTTTGTTTGACGGCGTACTTTGGAGGGACGAACCGCGGCATCCGCGACACCCAGTGGTCCTGACACGACCCCACCGAGCTGGTACTCGCCGCGCTGCTGGAATTTGAGCTCGACCCTACGTAGATGCCGTTCCTCTTCTGGTAGAATAAGATATAGGCGCTGTTGTTCACAAGCAGCGAACCTGTAAGGGGCACAGTTTGATTAAGACTCGTTACCGAAATTTACACAACAATTTTTGGTTTAACTGTGTAAACTTGCGTTGTAAATTTACTCTGAAAATTATTAAGTAAAAAAATTACATTGACCTATCAGAAATAAAACAAATATTTCAACTACCAAATAAATGTAACCTTATTGTAATCTTGTAAGATAATTGTAAATTTACAGAAAGGAATTGTAGATTTGCCCTAATAAATTATGAAGTAGGATATTTATATTTATAAAACAAATATGGTCATTTTAACCTCAAAAAAATTGCAGCACTACCGTTAACTTGTATTATAAACGTAAATTTAGAGAAAGAAGTTGTCACTTGACAAAATTATAGATCATAGAATTGTGATAGTTACAATCATCAATCATAAATATGACAAATATGATCCTTTCGACTGGAAAACAAATTGTAACATTGCCATAAACATGTAATATAAACGTAAATTTACTGAAAGGAATTGTAAATTTACACTAATAAATTATGAAGGAGGATATTTAAATTCATAAAATAAATATTAACCGCAAAAACCCGCTGCACTATTATTTACTTGTATTATAAATGTAAATTTACAGAAATAAGCTGTAAATTGATGCTTTACAAAATTATAAATTCTGATAATTACAATCATCAATCATAAATATGACAAATATGATCATTTCGATTGTAAAACAAATGGTAACTTTACCATAAACTTGTAATATAAATGTAAATTTCCAGAAACGAATTGTAAACTTACACTAATAAATTATGAAGCAGGATATTTATTTTCATAAAACAAATATGGTTATTTTAACTGCAAAAACCTGCAGCACTATAATTTACTTGTATTATAAATGTAAATTTAGAGAAATAAATTGTAAACGGACGCTTTACAAAATTATAAATTGTGATAATTAGAATCATCAATCATAAATACAACAAATATGATCATTTCAATTCTAAAACAAATGATTAACTTTACCGTAAACTTGTAATATAAACGTAAATTTACAGAAAAGTACCGTAAATTCACATTAAAAAAATTATGAAGTGTGATGGTCCTGTCAATTATAAATAAACAATTGGGGTCATTTCAACTGCAAGAAATTGACATAAATGTAAATTTACAGAAAGGAATTGTAAATTTACACTTATAAATGTATAATATAAAAAAAAGCAGGATATTTATACTCATAAAATAAATATGGTTATTTTAACCGCAAAAACCTGCAGCACTACAATTTACTTGTATTATAAATGTAAATTTAGAGAAAGAAATTGTAAATTGACACTTTACAAAATTATAAATTGTGATAGTTACAATCATTCATCATAAATATGACAAATATGATCATTTCGATTGTAAAACAAATGGTAACTTTACCGTAAACTTGTAATTGGGGTCATTTCAACTGCAAGAAATTGATATAAATGTAAATTTACAGAAAGGAATTGTTAATTTATATAAGAAGTGGGATAGCTCTATCGATCATAAATAAATAATAATTGTGGTCATTTCAACTACAAAAAACTCCTATATTACCAGAATCATGTAAATTTACAGAAAATAATTGTAAATTTACACTTAATCGATGAATTGAGATATTTACAACCGTGTGTCGTAGATAAAACAAATTGCAATTGCAAAAAATTATACGTTGCCACAAAATTATAATATAATAGTAAATTTACATTTACGAATACAAAAAATAATGGAGTTCTTTGTTTATATTACCAATTCAATAACTCACCTATATCGTTGGACTGCTTGCTGAGATTGACCACTTTGGCATCGTCATACAGGTACCACTGCCCATCGTAGGGGTTCTTGCAGGCGGCAGTGTAATGACCCGTTTCTAGATCCGTACCGTGATGGTAGCAGACAGCGTACAAGTCGTACATGTTATCGCTGGAATTCGACTGCTTCCTCGCCCTCCTCCACGGCGACCACCCATTGTTTATGATGACTGAGCCCTCGTTATCGGGCAACGATTCGTTCCTGTTCAGGGTGTTCCTCTTGTTGGCCAAGTGAGGCGTCATGTCGAAGCCGTACATGGGGAAGTCCACCATGGTGGTGAGCTTGGCGCTATTGCCGCCGCGCAGACCGTGTCTGAAATTGGCAAAACTGTAAAGTAGGACATTAATCTTTTGTGGAGGATAGCTGCCGTAAAGCGAAGAGGTGATACGTACTGCCTGAACCGCTTGAAGTGCACGATGAGGATGTCGGGGAGAGACCAAACGTCCAGGGTCTTGACGACCGGCTGGTACTGCTGGCAGTGGGGGCACCGCCACGCGTCCGTCAGGGTTTCCGCTTCGGTGTAATCCCGCAGACATTCTTCCAATGTCAAAGGAGCACCACCTGAACAAAACGATGCTTTAAACACAATATAAACAAATAATGTGCAATACTGATTATATTAGAAAAAAATTATGAATGAGGTGTCGCATTGTATTACCATAAACTTTAAATATACACAAAGTGCAAATTTACATCAAATAAACTGTAAATTTACAATTATAACTTACAAAGAATTGTAAATTTACACTTAAAAATCCTGAATTAGCATAGTTAATAATAAATAAAACATGGTAATTTCAACTGCAAAACAAAATTATCATTACCATGAACAAATATAACTGTAAATTTACAGAAAAGAAGCGTAAATTTATACTTCAAAATTATGAACTGGCATAGTTATAATTATAGGTAAAAACAAATATAAAAATTTTAACTGCTAAAATTAACATTAAAAAAACTTGTAAATTTACATAAAATTAAATGTAAATTTACACTTAAAAATCATAAACAGAGATAGGTACAATCATAAATAAAACAAATACACAATTGAAACTTGAAGTGCTATATTATTGCTATATGAACTTGTGAAATATTTGTAAATTGACAAAGAACTTGTAAATTGACACTTAAAAATTCTGAATTAGCATATTAAACAACAAATAAAACATGGGAATTTCAACTGCACAAAAAATTTGTCATATCACCATGCACAAATATAGCCGTAAATTTACAGAAAGGAAATGTAAATTTATACTTCAAAATTATGAACGGGCATAGTTGTATTCATAAGTAAAAACAAGTATAAAAATTTCAACTGTTAAAATTAACATATTAAAAATCTTTGTAAATTTACATAAAATCAAAGGTAAATTTAAACTTAAAAATCATGAAGAGATAGTTACAATAATAAATAAAACAAATACGCAATTGAATCGAGAATTGCTATATTATTGTTATATGAACTTGTAATATATTTGTAAATTTACAAAGGAATTGTAAATTTACTCTTAAAAATTCTGAATTAGCATAGTAAATAACAAATAAAACATGGGAATTTGAAATGCACAAAAAATTTGTCATATTACCTACCATGCACAAATATAGTTGTAAATTTACAGGAAACGTAAATTTATACTTCAAAATTATGAACGGGCATAGTTGTATTCATAAGTAAAAACAAGTATAAAAATTTCAACTGTTAAAATTAACATTAAAAATGCTTGTAAATTTACATATAATCAAATGTAAATTTATACTAAAAAATCATGAATAGAGATATGTAGTTACAATTATAAATAAAACAAATAAATACGCAATTGAAACAATAATTGTTATATTATTGCTATATGATCTCGTAATATATTTGTAAATTTACAAAATAATTGTAAATTTACACTTAAAAATTCTGAATTGGCATAGTTACAATGGTTATTAACGAATACTTAAAACTTGATAATTTCAACTGCAAAAATTGTCATATTACCATGCACAAACGTAATTGTAAATTTACAGACAGGAAATGTAAATTTATTCTTCAAAATTATAAACTGGCATAATTGTAATCATAAATGAAAACAAATATAACAAATAATTTCCACTGCTAAAATTATCATATTAACAAAACCCTGTAAATTTACATGAAATCAAATGTAAATTTACACTTAAAAGTCATGAATAGTTACAATCATAGATAAAACAAATATGTAACTTAGAAATATAAAAACTTCTATATTATGATGAATATGAAACATGTAAATTTACAAAAAAGTATTGTAAATTTACACGAATTGGCATATTTGCAACCAAAAACATATAAAACATATATGGTCATTTCAACCGCATAAATTACCATATTACCATGAACTTATAATCAATTTTGTTACATAAAAATTTGCTCACCATGAAGCGCCTGGGCCCGGAGCATCTTCACGCTGGAATGTTCCTCCACCAAGTCGTTGTCGTCGGCGATTATGGACACCTTAGACTCGGACGTCCACTCGAGGACGAGCTTGACGTGTGGAGGACCCCCATCTTCGCTACAGAGCGCTAGGGCCTGATCGACTGCCTCCATGAACAGGGGATGTTCCAGTTCCGGTTCCAGGTAGCAGGGGGGCTCGTTGTCGTTCCAGGCGGGGTCCGAAATTCTCATTTTGAACACCTGAAATCGTTTTATAATGTAACTATTCGATAATGTAAAAATCATCTCCGGGTACAATTTTTCGTAAGAAAAAAGAAGTAGGAACAATTTTACGTACCCCCCTGTATTGGGACGATGTTAAGACATCATCGTGTAGAATTGGAGCCATTTCTTTCAGTACCAGCTTCTGCAAATCTTCGTAAGAAGTTTCCCTCGATACTTGCATAGTATACGGGCTTCCTATGGTAAAATAAGACCGTCAAAAAAAAATTATACGAAATTTTATTTCCTACGAATCTTACCGAATCTTTGGCAATCGTTATCGTCCACCAGCACGTTGATCCAGCACAGGAGCACGTAGGCGCTGGTGGACTCCTCCTGCACGTCCTTGAGCTGGGCGACTTCTATGCAGTATATCGGATCGATCTCGGTTATGATGCTGACGGGTTGGGCATCGGTGAAGGTCCTCAGGAAGCCCGAGTCGCCTATCTCGGTAATGAGCATGTTGGCACGTTCGATCGAGGTATCAGACTCTAGAATATCACGTAGCTCGGACACCGTGGCGCTCGATGAGAGGTTCAAGCCGATCTGCACCTGCCTGGGCTGCTGGGATGTGTACAACACCTGAAGAGGGACACAGAAACGTCACTTGGTATGTCAATGTCGATCGCGATATAGTTTATGCTTTGTGATACCGATTAAAGTTTATTTATTTACGATTCAGGGGGCCATATTTTGTGTTAATGTTACAATCAATTATTGAATTGTTGCAAACGCTAAAAAGAACAAGAATAACAAAATAGGATTATAAAGAAACAGATTGTGATAAAAAAATAATTAAAAATTATACAAAAACAACTCTCAAGGAAACAAAGAATCTGAGTAAATATTATCATATGTATTATCCACTCAAAATTCATGCTCAGTAGGTCACTTTCTGTTAGTATTGTTGATATTATTGTTCCGAATTTTTACTGTACTTGATCACATCTCAAAGCATGACAGTCATAATACGGAAACCAATGGCAATGATATGGCATGACATTCAAAAAGGTTAACCTCCACACTCTGATAAATTACTGATATGCTGAAATTTAGTCAAAATTATATTAATCAATCAATAATTATCTGCAAACAAAAAAATATCCAATAGCAGAAACGTTGATGATCATTTAGATATATTAAAGAATAGAGATCCTAAGTGAGAGCCTTGAGGCTCACCTGACCTGATGTCTCTCTGAATGGCATTTTATTATCCAATCTAGAGAAGAACTACAAACTCCAAATATATGAAGTTTGTGGATTAAAGTTTTGTAATTTACTCTATCAAAGACCTTGGAAAAGTTTGTACGTAGAAGATTAATTTAGAATCAAGCCTTGAAGACATTTGATGAGTAGACCATCAAGATATGATCCCATAATGTCTCTGAATTTGTTCCCGTTCAATATTATTATTATCGTTCAAAGCTTCAGAATTTGGAGTTCGTTTCCCATTAAATAATGATCAAAATCATTCAAATTCAGTTTAGATGTACTAGGAACAACAACTACAACTGATCTCCTTCACTTCGTCACCGTTGACCCACACTATCTCCCTCCACATGCACTGTAGACTGCCGACAATATTGTTATAAATATATGAGTGTACACAAGAATGAAAATGTAATTTAAAAAAACTAATTATAACTTTGATTAAAAAAAAGAATTTCAGACTCGTATTCAAAAGAACATGTACTATTACCCCTAAAAAACTAACCTCCGTTTAAACTTACACCCTGTATGCATGATGAGTCCTTTGCAAAGAAATAATTCGGAAAATTGAGCCATCCCAAGGCTGTGACTACTTATTTTTAAAATTATCTTTATTTTTCCAAAGATATTCCAAATGAGTCAGATTATGTTTTGATAACCCACATTTTTTTTAATCTTTTCGCACAGCCCTTTATCTACATCAAGTCAGCTAGTTTACATCATTATAACGATTCTTTTTGCAGTTTTGCAAGGGCCAAAGGTTGCGATGTGGAAAACAGAACCTTAGGCAGATTTATTAATAGAGATTATTGATTTATCATAATCTGTTTATTACAAAGGGGTGGGCAAAGTCCTCATTTTTATCAAGGCAAGTCACCATTACACGTTTTATCAGGGCAATTCCGTGGTTAAGGAACAACGATTGGACAATGCACAAAAACACCATTATCTAATGTTTATTTTTCATAAGTACGGTGTAAATATTTTCACACGCCTCGACTAAAGGAGTCACAAGTCCAGGACTAGCTTTACTACAAACAAAAGGCAAAACCCCGTTTACTTAACCTCTTTACTACGAACCCAGCAATGTACAAAGTGTTTTCGAATATTACTTAAAGTAAGTTCTCTTTCACAAACAAACAATTATTGTCGAATACTTACGGTAACATAAATCGAATGCTTGTGGAACTGCGGAAGCTGTACCGAAATGCACTGGAAAGGGTCGAAGGTGTTAGACTGGGTACGACACCTCGAACAGCTGAGGGACGATCTGTACTGCGCCTGGAAAACACCCTGTATGAAGGAGTTGTTGCATCGCTTGTAGTTCTCCAGCGTCTCCGCCGCTATCACTTCATCGGGTCTCCCTGAGGTCTGGAATAAGAAACCAACATCAGCTAAAGGCATAAAAAAGTGTGCAGGCAGAAAATTTTATAAACATATCATTGAAAAAATATTGAGGTAATTTGATTATCCTCCATTTTTTTTAAAACGTGTCATGGATATACAGTGTCCGCAGTATAAGTGCCATATGATTAATATGTCATGGCATGGATCAAAATAAACAAAAAAGTCTTATATAATCCAGGAATTGGAGTTAATTTTATTCAAGGAGAAACTGTTTACGTGAAAGCATCCAGATATACCACGAACGAGGTCATTGTTAGGTGTCTCAGTGTATTTTAGATACTGGTAGTGTTATTCCTCACCTTAAATGAGAACCACGTCAAATCACCATACAGGTAGAGGACCGAAAGGATTAAGGATACTACATAAAATACTTAAACAATGATATTATGGCCCTATTATGTCCAAGAAGTCCAAGAACTGACAATAGCATAGTTTTTTCAGACATAATCTCCACAGTTTTTAGAAATCACGATAATTTTATGGTCAAAATTTTAGTTAAGAGATACCTAGTGCTTATTTTACAGTAAATCGAATTTTTAAATTTCATAATACACATCGCTGAGATAGGTACAGACCCACAATTATTTAACAGCTTCAAAACAAACATATTTAATAATAAGTGTAAGGAATAACCGAAAGTACGAATTTAAAAAACGGGGAAATTAATAAGTTTCTAAATAAAATTCTTTGCATAATTTTTATGTACTATCGAATAAACCCCAATTTTCAGTTGTTTTATTTTATAAATATTGTTTTTTATCAAACAAATTTTTTATAATTTTTTTCTTCTGACAAAATGAATGTTTTTTTTTATCATTATTATTATCATCAATATCTTTTTGACTTTCTTTCATGCGACAATTATTTTAAATAACATTTTTTCGAGTCAGTATCGACTTGATGCTGGCAACTCTGGATCTTTTTAATAAAAATTTCAAAATTCATAAAAAAGATTTTTTTAAGAAACTCAGAATGTAGTAGTCATTGACAAGAAGAATAAGTGCATTTTTGTAAAACTGCAAAATATTTGAGTTTTTACAAAAATTGAGTTTTTCGAGACATTTTTTTTTTCAATTTTCAATAAATCATACAGTAATGCACTTACGTATCCCATCTTGGGCTTAAAATTTTCTCTAATAGCTGTTTTACATTGACAATTTATTGATGAATAAATTGACGAAGTTCTTCATGAATTAATTCACGAATTTATTGGTAAATAGTGTGGTTTTACACTGCTACAGACTTTGTCAAGTTTTTTGACGTATGAATCAGATCTACCAATGAATTAAAGCAAATAAATTTCAAAAATGTCACCTTTCCACTCATAATTGTAGTGATACAACAGCGGTACCGTTCTGACACATATTATATAAATATTAGTTTTTGTAAGTAACAAATCAGTAAAAATAATGCAAAACTAGCGCGCCGCCACACAATTATTTACATATTCCAATAACATAACCTCAATCCTCATTACTGATCTGAGGCTGGATGGAAATCTGTTGGGTTGGGTTGGTACTTCCAAACTTCACGAAGAAATTGACGAAAATTAGAACATGCTCTAAAAGCTGTTTTACATTGACAATTTATTGATCAATTAATAAATAATTGTGTGGCGTCGTGCTAGTTTTGCATTGTTTTTACCGATTTGTTACAAAAACTAATATTTATATAATATGTGTCAGAACGGTACCGCTGTTGTATCACTACAATTATGAGTGGAAAGGTGACATTTTTGAAATTTATTTGCTTCTTTTATTCATTGGTAGAACTGATTCTTACGTCAAAAAACTTGACAAAGTCTGTAGCAGTGTACAACCACACTGTTTACCAATAAATTCGTGAATTACCTAATTCATGAAGAACTTCGTCAATTTATTCTCGAATAAATTGTCAATGTAAAACAGCTATAATGCACCAAATCCGCTGTCAAATAACTTCATGAATTTATTCATCAAGTTCTTGACGAATTAGAGCATGTTCTAATTTTCGTCAATTTCTTCGTGAAGTTCAGAAGTACCAACCCAACAGATTTCCAACCTCAGATCAGTAATAAGGTTATGTTTACCACACTGTTCACCAATAAATTCGTGAATTAATTCATGAAGAACTTCGTCAATTTATTCATGAATAAATTATCAATTTAACAGCTATAAGGGTTGTACTTATCGAAAAAAAAACAAGGGACGAAAAAGTTTAAAAATCAATGAAATGCTATCCGAAAAAATTTGCAGCTTTTACCTTATTTTCGCCTTCAGTGACTTGACTATGTCTTTTATTCATCAATTTTAAATTCAGAAATATATAACTTGCGTTCCTATAGCTTTGGAATTTCGAATATATTATAAAACAATATTTCATTAAAATTCGGTTTTGCGTCAAACTTAAACGAATAAATCAAATTCTAGCGGTGGCGTCATAGAAAAAAATGAAAGTTTACATTCTCTCTAAGCCAAACCAGTTGATTGGCCCCATCCAAATCGCTAATTGTCGACTTCAACACGTTCCTTTTTTTCGCCGGCCCATCCACGGTCGCTATGACTAATTTCTCAATATGCCATACAACGATCCATCAAGGTGCACCTTGCATTTGCTCCACGGCGAGGCATACAAACAAGTCTGTTAATTTATTCACCTCTTGGATTAAGGTCGAATAACAATGTTGCGTAATCGACTTATATTAGCGATTTCATTAAAGGCCAGAACGGGTCTGATCTCGAATTATGAATCATCGGATTCGTGCTGAAAAGTTCTAGAAGCTTTATCGAATCGCGGGGAATTTTATGCAGAAGCTGCCGAGTTATGAACCGTTCAATAGAACCTTTAATTTCATGCCACCATGTGATAAAAATAATATATTTCTTTTACTGTTATTAATAGCAGCCTTACACAATGAAAAATTCATTAATTAATTCATGAAGTTGATGAAGTAATTGATTATCTTGTAAGTGTCCAATTTTTTATTATAATTACTGACAATTGAGAATATTAACACTTGTTTGATACCAACTTCTAATAGTTGAGTTATATAACATACTATCAGTAGCAGTTTCACTGCATTGTCGGCACTTTGATCTCATTCACCCGTTTTCTGTGACCTTGGATAGAGAAGTACTGATAACGCACGCTTATTAGAAACAATCAGCAGTTATTGGATGGAGTAGACTTCAATTTTCGACGAAGAATAAATTCATGCCTGAGAGAAAACAATTGCTATAACTTATCAGAGCAAATTATACATATGTTATTTCTGCTGTTTAAGTTGTTTGTTTTTATATTTCATTATTCTTTCAACTTTTTTCCTGATCGTCAAGTTTGATGTTTAAATTCATAGCCAACTTTTGAATTTTCAATGATTTTAGTAGCAGAGCGTATTATATTATATACGCATTATTAAGTATTCGTGTTTTTTTTTTAAACGCACCCATTTCAATTTTTTAATTGTAGCTCGAAAACGAAGCAAAATTTCGCTATAGTTCATAGGAAAAATTATTTAGAGAACTGAATTTCTCATCGATATGGCTTATTTAAAAAATTTAAAAGGAAAATTTTATGCTAAATATCGTTGATAAACAATTTGAAAAAAGCAAAAAATTCGATTTTTGGATTTTTTTTTAACTTTTTGCCTCTAGTTTTTTTTGAGCAAAGAAAGGTACAGGCATTGCTTCATAGATAAAAAGTAGATAAAATTTCCTTCAAAATAAGAGGTCGTAAAGTATTTTTGGATGAAAATTGACTGATATATGGTCGCTCAAACTTACAATTAGTCAATTTTTCGATTTTCGTCGCGTTTACCCTTATACGTTTTAATTCAAATTTTTTGCAAAAAAGGAAGGAAATAAGTCGTTCACGGGTTTTCATCACGATTTGTTCGAAAGGTCATTAAAAATGAAAAAACCGCGGGGTATAGTTCATAGGAAAAATTTTGTAAATAATTCAATTCCCATCGAAATAGCTTATTTAAAAAAAATTAAAAGAAAAATTTTATACAAAAAATCGTTAATAAAAAATTTAAAAAAAGCAAAAAATAAGATTTTTAATTTTTTTTTACTTTTTTGACTCTAATTTTTTTTTTAAGTAGAAGTAGGCAAAGAAAACTGCTGTACAAAAAAACTAGATGAGATTACCTTCAAAATGATGCGTTTTCAAAAGTTTTTGGACTAATATTGACCGGTCAAACTTAAATGTTTTTTAGATTTTCGTCGTTTTTAACATAATGATCATAATTCTTATTTTTACAACAAATTGATTCTTTACCTAATAAAAAATTATGTCATTTTATTTGTTAATAACAAATAAAGATTTTCACAACTTAGTCAAATAAGTAAAAAAAAACAAAATACTTATTTTTTGCTTTTTTAAAAATTGTTTATTAACGAGGTGCATTTTCACCCTTATCTCCAATTTCCACCCTCTAATTTAATAGCACTCCACGGTTTTTGCATCTAAAATGACAATTTGAACGATTCATGTAATAAAATATCTTGAACGTTCCTTTTAAAATCCTATAATCAATACTCAAAAGCCTATTAGTACCTATAAAGGTAAATCCCCATATTTTGGGTTCCTCTCCTCGCCCCTGATCTGTGTCTGTTCTTACGCAAAACACCCTGTATAATTAAAACAGTTTTCAACTTATTGAAGAAAATGTAAACGACCCTTTTATTTTTAATTATCCCCCCTTGGGCCGCCACTGCTGTCTAGACCTAGAAAACGCCACTTGGACTGTTTCTTCACCGTAATTACTATTTTTAATAACCGATTCAATATTTTTTGGCACCAGCACGCGAAATCATCACTTCGAAACTATCCTTCCCTTGCCAAGAAGCCTATTCAAAACTTTACGAACTAATAAATTTACAGAGAGGTTCAATTTATGTCTTTAGTATAAAAAAAAAGCTCAGCTCAACAAATTTGCATTCGACAAAATCAATTTATACTCGTTTCGGCGAAGACAAGTCCCG